AAACAGTGTGTGACCGTCAATACGGACACTGTCCGAAGAATACGATCGCGTTTGAATAACGGCACGATTAGCGCATTCTTCATTTCTCAATCGTTAATCATCATTTCGCTTTCGGTGATCATTGTGAAAGTGTTTTCGCGGAGTAACATTCGATGGCTCCGCGGTTGAATCCCGAAATAATTCGCCGGATTATTCATATTCTCCCCCGTGAGATCCACGCAAACTTTCCGTGGTAGAATTCAGCGGAAGCGGATACGTGGGGTCTATGTGGGGCCGCTGAAACAAGGGGAAACGGAAACGCGCACGGAGAGGAAGAGGAAAGAAGAGAGAGAGAGAGAGAGAGAGAGAGAGAGAGAGAGAGAGAGAGAGAGAGAGAGAGAGAGAGAGAGAGAGAGAGAGAGAGAGAGAGAGAGAGAGAGAGAGAGAGAGAGAGAGAGAGAGAGAGAGAGAGAGAGAGAGAGAGAGAGAGAGAGAGAGAGAGAGCGGAGGAGGAAGAGGGAGAAGAGAAAGGGAGGGTTGAGAAAGGGAGAACGAGTTTCGCGAGTTCTTACGGGACGGCCAGTAAAAAGGAGCAACGCGGGAAAATTCTTTCTTAGAGTGGCTGGTTAAGAAGTTTTATGAGATGGTGGAATCTGCGGAATGCTGAGAGGTTAATCAATTTTGCGCGCCCTTTCATTGTCGTTTCGACGTCTCTCGCGACGCGTTTGTCACTTCCGTTGGATACGCGAGCGACGGCCGTTTTCACGGCGATTACATCCAAGCGGAACAAGCTGGAGAAGGATTACCGCTTTGAACGTCGGATCCGGCGCGCGACTTGTGTCTTTCTGATTAAGATCGCTCGCGTCGAATAAGTATTCCCCTCTGCCGTGGGCGGAAGCGTTTCATCGTGGAGAGAGAGAGAGAGAGAGAGAGTCGTCGATAGAGAGATGAGTTTACGCGTTCGAAACTCGAATCGATACTCCAGGCCCCCGCTTCAGATTCTTATTTCCCGGAGAAGAGCTGCCTAAGAAAAATTTCTCCCTTTCGCGGAGAGCGGAGAATTCGGTCAATCCGTCGATAAAGTTCTCGTGTAAAGCCCTGCGCTGCGCGCGAGATTCTCTGACATTCGCCGCGTTAAATGAAACTGATTTTCACGCTGGATATAAAGCCGAGATCCAGTGCGACTACTTTTCCTTAATCGATCTCGAATCCCGTTTTCAGCTAATGTTTTTAATACAAAAAGTTATATTTTATATTCGTACATATCCATATAATTGATATTTTAATCGCGCAAAGAGAGTTTGCGTGTACTTGCATTTATCCAGAAATTAATCGGACGTTCGGTTCAGTTGTATTTATTTGCAGACATTTTATTATACTTTACCCTCTGAGAAAGAGATTGATGCCAAAATTGAATGAATTTAAACAATATCTTACAGAGAGAGGAGATAAAATTGTCAATGCGTTTCAGCGTTCCCGATATCGCAGGGAACACGGGAATCACGGGCATATAATGATCGTGGGTCGCGCGGGATCGTCAATCGTGAGAAACGTGAAGCAGTTAAAGCAATTAACGCATCGGCCACCGCCGAGTCTCTAATTTTTCCGACGCTAAAAACAGCAGCCAACAGAATCCCTTTCGAGCTCTCGAAATTCGATTTCTCCCACGAAGCCGCGCTACGCCGCGTGTGCGGCCGCAAAACGTTATTTTCGTGTCCGCGCGAACCATTCGTGCGTTTCTCCGCGCGCTAGTCGAATTCACATTTAATGAAAAAATACCACGAGCGTCTCTGCGCGAAACACGCACTATATATCCCGATAACAACGATAAACAGAAAATACTTTACAGGTTTACGAGCGAGAACGACGGCACCGGCATCGCGCGTGTCGTTACAGCGAAGCTGTCAAACGTCTCGCGAAAAATTCGGTGAATTACGCGGGCGTTTTCAGCGACGCGAGAAATACACGACTGACGTGGAGATATCGCGGATTTTCGGAGGAAATTCTGCAATTCAAACCGCAATTACTGTCAGATGGCGTGAGATGGCGTGACGATCAGGCGAGACCGCACAGGTAATTGATATTAAAAACTGAATGATTGAATTACAAAAAAAAGAAAAAGAATCGTACGAAATTAAATCGCCAAAAATTAAGGATTTTGTTAGGGATATATTTGGGTCCTAACGATTTGTAGAAAATTTCGGCGCTTAAACAGAAACAAATTCTAAGGGGATAATCGCTCGATCGATTTTAAACATTACATTAGGGTCCTCTAAATTTCAGAGTAAGAATTAAAGTAAAAAAGATATGCTTCTAATTTATTCACGTTTGCATATGTACTGAAAAACAAGATATTAGCTGCGCTTGCTTCGATAACGAAAGTACGTCCGTGTGTACGTACGTATGTGAGTGTGCAGCCCACGTAACTTGAAAGTCTACTTTCCGAGAATTACGTATAACAACCGCATCTCTTGAGAGTAACACATCAAACACACGCTAAAATGCATCTCCATCCTGACAAATTGTTGCTCGAGTAGTTACGTCACGGCCGACGAGATGCTTGAAGCTTAAACCGAATTATTGAACCTGCTCTTCGGCGTGTTTCGGCGCGCCAGAAGGACCACGGCAGGAGGACCGCCTTATTTTCGCATTGCGTGTATTTTATTCACGCACAAAGGTTTAGGGCACAAAGGTAGAAAGGGCAAGAAGGAACTCGTCCTGCGTAAACCGAGGAGTGATTTCGCGAGATACGCTTTTGGAGGTAAATAACCGACGAGACGCCGAAGGTATCGACGATCGTAAAAGCGCGCGGAAATACGAATACGCGGCCGTAAATACAGCCTTGGACAAAGTACGCGATATCTTTGATAAATTACACCGAGTTGAAGAAATGCGGAGGGGACGTTCGTCAAGAATTGTCGGCAGAATATAAAGCTTCATGTAGCTTCATGTATTGTATTATTAATTATACAAAGCCGTAAACTCTCTATGAACCATAATAGCCATTCAATGATCACTGAGCGCTGCTGAGCCGTAACGTTAACGTAAGAACGTTAGAATGTACGGTAAATGTTTAAAACATCGCAGCCGAGTAACCGCACCTCAATAACGCACGCGAAAGCTCGCTATCTTCGGACTCTCCGCGATTTATCAAGAGATTTTTTCGAGTTTTCGCAATGTAGTAAGAGTTTTAAGGATAATTTATCGCTTTTCTCTTCAAACTTCCAGCAGTTTTGGTGGCTGTAAGGCCGCGTGGACGCGGCATAAATCGCCGAGCGAAGCCGGTCGGAATAATAAAAATTATCGAGCAACTATTCCGGCGGGCTTGATGGAGAGGAGACAGAATTGGGGGCGAAAACGAGCGCTGCCTCTGACATTAATTAATCATCCGCGAGCGGCCGAGTTACTCGAGTCTGATGAATTATCGCCACCTGAAGAGAGAGCCAGCTGCGGCGATATACGACCCGGCGGCGTATCTACCCGCGATAATTCCCTTTATTCGAACGCCGCAAGGCTCGACGATTTTGCCAACGATATTCGTATACGCGCGACGTAATTAATTCGCAATATCGCGGCGGATGGGGAAGCAAACGTTTAACTCGCGCGCGTCGCTGCGCGACGATGGAGTCTTCCGGCGGATTTTTCAAAGCGAGAGAGACTTCACGCTACGTTTCTTTTACCGGTATGTGAGATACGGTTGATTAGTTAGCGCGATAATGAGAAAGGGCCGCCCGCGTCGGAGTTATGTCAGCGCGAAATATCCTCGCGGGATGGGATGATGTTTGACATGCGAGTGTCATTAAGAGACTCGTTAAAGCTGCATGTTCGCACAAGATCGTTAGCGAAAAGCGTGATTTGATTATAAATCTTTCATCCGAGAAATACGAAAATGACTCTGTATTGTGTGCGATATTATAGTTGTACGTGTAATATTACAAAGTAAAATTACAAAGTAAAATCGAACCGAGATCAGGCGAGATTTTGTTATTAACTTTGTCGATCGCGGTGCCACGATATAATCTTTGCTGCTATTTAAAAGAAATAACGCAAATAAATGAACGTAACGTCGAAGAGGAAGGTTTTTAACGACTTTCAGATTACAACGCGAGAAACGCTTACGGTAATAACAATTAGCATCTGGCTGACAATGCTCGAGGAAAATAGCAGTCACGCGTAAAAAATCTTACAGCTCCATTTGCATCATTGAACGGATAATAGGAGAGGAAGAACAGGTGGAATCAAGAATGCCTGCAACACAGACATATCGAGACATGTCGAAACCACGAACGAACAATTATTGACATCGTACGAGCGCAGTTTCCTCAATATCGCTTTTTATGGAAGGAGCCGAAGGAGCTAAGATGAAATAATACTTGAAAGAAATGCAATTCAACGAGAAATGTTGTAACGAGTGCTTGCAGACACTCGCTCGAGTATCGAGGTGCAGTAACCAAGACGTGACTTACCGCACCAACCGAGAAACTTCAACTGCGAAAAACTACTAACAGGCGAACATAAGGACGCATTTTCATTTTTGTTGTCGAAACGTCGCGAAAAAGAGGGTAAATTGATCTCCAAATTAACACAACAGAGCATAATACCCTAATTCTTTTATAGTACATCTAATATCGACGATTTAAAATGACAGGTAAAAATTGATGTCCGCACAAGCATTAAATAAGAAAAATATTTCCCTCTCCAAATTCCCTCGAAAGTATGATTTTGTACACTTATTACAAAACTGTCGATACTTGATAGCCGCGATTAAGAAGCACCGAATAACGAAGATAACGATCTCGGATATATATTCCGGTATAATATCACACAACTTCCGATCTCTCATTTTTCCTCTCTCTCTCTCTCTCTCTCTCTCTCTCTCTCTCTCTCTATTTCCTCCCTCCCCGCCAAATAACACGATCACTAACGTAACGTGTTCTCCTTTGCCTCCTTTGCAGCTCTAAGACTACGCGCGCACAGATCGCCGAGAGAAGGGGCGATATGCACGCGACCAAACTTCCTACCGCGAACGATCCTTCACGTACATTGTTGCCCTCGAAGATCCCGGCCAGCATGATAATCGCCAGCTGAAGCGTGTCACGTGCCAGACTCGAGCGAGACGATTCTCCCAGGCCGCTTCGAGCGACAGGCTCCGAAACTTTTTCACTGAGAGGTCCGTCCGTTTCACAGGTCGTCGTCGCAGTCGCAGTCGTCGAACCGAAGGGAGTCGAAGGGAGACTGCGAGAGAGGAAAGACCCGGGGACGAGGGGTAACCGACGAGGGGGAGCGACCGAAACCGGAGATCAAATGAATGCGTGCGTGAGCGCGCACGTGATTGCGATCGTGATCGTGAGCGTGACCACTTGAAGAACACCCTGGAGCAAGTCGCGAGAGCAGGTTGACACCTTCAGGGAGGAGATCGCGCGCAGAACTGACACCTCACGCGCGCGGTCCAGCTACCCTCAGCATCCAGCGGTGACGGCGGTCGAGGGGGATGAAGCCGAGCACGCGCGAAATTCCACTCCCCTCGCCCTCCGCCTCGTACTGGCTGCAGCCACCCGTCCGACCAACCACCACCCGATTCCCCCCGTCCGCTTCCTCTCCTCCTCCTTCTCCTCGTCGCCTCTCATCCCTCTCTCCGATTCTCCTCTCCTCGGTCAACCTCTGTTACTACACTCCGCGCTTCTGTTTCGTGCCGAATTCGCGCCATCGTCCGCGGGAATTCGACTTCACCCTTCGTCGCTCGCCAGCGGCGTCTGCATTAACCCTTTTCCCGTCCCGCGACGTGAAAGCTCGGGTTATGAATACAGTATAGTTTTTAGCGTCTGCGCGCGGATCGCGAGGCACGTGGTTTTTGCGTCGAGTGAAAACTATTTGGTCCTCCTACGAGGATGAAAAGAAGGTAATTGAATATTCACTAGGATGGGGAATACGTGCCCTTCTCCTTCTCCTTCTCCTTGGTAATGACGATATTTATGAAAGGTGAGGCATGATTTTGGGTTTTTCTACGCGAGCGTTGAGCTCGCAACAACTCGCTGAGGGCGGAACGCACCTTTCTAAATATTGAAGGAGGCGATATCTATTGAAGGAAGCGTCTCCACGACCTAACCCGAAACTGTTATATAATTTCACACGGACGACTGCCAAGTTTTTAAGCTTTGCCCATGTCTCGCCTTCCCTCTCACATTTAGCCTGGCTTACGACGACTTTATTCCGCCTTAATTAGCAAACTCACTGCAGATCCGGGAAGAGTTTGAGAAAGCAATATTAGAGAGAGAGGAAAGCCCACGCGTAATTACTATATCTCTCCGCGGCGCGTGATTGTTTGCTGAAGTCGACGACTTTTTCCGCGACGGTAGCCGCCGCGACGTGATGCGTTTATCGCGAAAAGCGCGTTTACAATTTCGCCTCAAATATTAGCATCGGCTCGGATTAATCGTAATTAATAATGACACTTGGCCGCGCGCATCATGGCGCGAGTTCTCGATGCCATTTTCTTTCTCAGCTGAAACGAATTTGGTTTATATTTTCTTTTCCTCTGCATCTCGCCAGCTATTACCCGCCGGAATATTCGATATTTATACGACCCCTTAATAATTATCCACCACAATGAAAACGCGCGAAGCCCGTTCGAGCGAGCGACCGAACGAATTCAGCGCCAAGTAATTACACCGCACAATCGCACGAATATTGCACTTTGGTGAGGAAAAAAAAAATTTGCAGCGTCCCCGTAGAGTGAGAAAATTTAATCTCCGCTGAGGCGTTTAACCTTAGCGCGTGCGCCTTGCCAATTTCTAGCCGCAATGAATCGAGAAGCACGAGGAGTCTCGCGCAATCGCAATTTCAACGTCGCGCCGTACATAAATAAATCATCAGAAATTCAAGGTCACGTGACGCGGCGAAAGTGAGCGCGAGGCTCACGCGATAAATACGCGCTAATTTTCCGGCGACTACATTCGAAGTCGGTCGTTACGTTGTCGTTGCGATTAATAAATCGAGTGAGAAAAAAGCGAGCGCACATATCGCGCTCGCTACTGATGTAACTTCCGCTCGCAAAAGTTAATCTCCAACGACCTTAAACATCTGGCGGCCGGGCCGAAGTGGCTGTACCGACGCCGACGAGTACGCGCGAAATTTCACCCCTGCGCACTCTTCGGTGAGAGTAGCCCCTTTACGGTCCTATTTCGTCCGGACGAGCACCTCGCACCTACAAAGGGGCGTCGAGGGCTGGCAACCCTCCCTAATAATTATCAGGCAATGGAGGCCATATTGCACGAGCCAATGACCCAGCGGCATGGAATATTTAAGTGAGTCGCGCGCGCGTAGCGCGCCAGACTATCTGAAAACCTAATTAAAATATGCAGCGGGGAGAAAACGCGGCGCGACGCTACGCGTTGCCATTAAGTATCGAGCGGCGGGACGTAAATGTTTAACGCGAGTTTGACAAAGAGAGACGCCGCGCCAGGCCGCGCTCAGTCTTTCTTAGCGCCGCCATTCTGCCGTCCGCAATTTATATCCCCGCGGCTCGCGGAAGCAAGCTGCAAGACAAGAGCTATTTGCGTCAATCGGTTGCTTCACGCGCGACTGCGGAACCAGGAGCTTAAACCAGGAGAGCCTTTCGATACGCTCGACGGATGCGCGAAGGATGCGCGAAGGATGCGCACGTCCGTGCGCTTTTGACAAATCTATCATCGATGGAGAGGAGGGAGGGAGGAAGAGAGAGAGAGAGAGAGAGAGGGGGGGGAGAGAGAGAAAGAGAGAGAAAGCGCCAATTCAAATCCTCCGGAACTCTAGGATAAGGCACGGATTTGTCCAGCTTAGCGCGCATCAGCATCTCCCTCGCGGGAGCGAATGACAAAAGTTCCTAGGAAGAAGCTCTCGCGTATCTCGGCAAGGTCAAAGACCGGCGGAGGTCGGATCGAGCGATTTCATTTTCGTCATACTCGCGTATCAGATCCGGTCCGGTCCGGTCGCATGCGCACGAACACGCAGCTGCGCCGCCCTGTAATTAACTGGGCACTGCCGACCTACAATAATTACCCGGTAACGGTCAACGGCTGCGAGCGCGACGGGGGGAGGGAGGCGCGGGAGGGTGGAGGAGCGCGCACATTGCGTTGCGTTGAGTCGTGCTGCATCGCGTGTAGCGTAACGCTGCGCTGTGACCGATAACCCCGGCCACGAGATGAACTATTTATACGCGCAATCGCGCGGCGAGTGTGTCAGTTTCGATTACGTTTCCGCGAGAACGAGGCGACAAATAAAGCCGACCGCGCGTTATTCCAATCGCGATTTAACGAGCTCGACTTTTGTCCGTTCTGCCCTCGTTCGGCCTGCCGCCGCCGCGCGTCTCTCCCTCTCTCTCTCTCTCTCTCTCTCTCTCTCTCTCTCTCTCTCTCTCTCTCTCTGCGTGGCGCTGCAAAAATATTTCACATTACCAGCGACGTACACGCGCGATCCTCTCTCTCTCGTGTCGCGAATGGGAGGATGTATAAACAGTTCTAACGGTGCTTTAAAGTCTTCAGGGCGCGCGCCCGCGCGCGGGCAGCCAACTTTCGCCATAAAGCGCGCCGTATAAATCCCTTACTGACTCTCCTCGCTAGAACGGTTACTTCGAATTAACGTCGGATTCGAGCCGCGTCGGACACGCGGCTGGAATCTCGAAACGGGCGCGCTGCTCCACCGCTGGAGGAGAAGGGCCTCGCTCAACGGCGCAGTGCGCTCTCTCACTCCGCCGAGCGGCGCGAAACGCCGGCGGCAATTAACGCGGCCGGGAATATTAAAAACGTCATTAGCGCGTACGGTAATTGCGCGAACACCGCGACGCAGCGCGCGCGCGCGGCCGCCTTATAAACGGCTCTTAATAGCTTCCTTTGGCGACGGAATTCATCATTTCCCGGGCGCGCGCATCGATACACGGCAAAATTACGGCGAGCTCGTGCCTGTTTGCGCGGCGCAAATAACTCATACACGTCAAACAACGCGATTAACCCGGGTGCCGCTCTGTTGGGCTGCCTCGCTTTGCGCCAGTGGAGATACGTTATGTATGTCGATTTCCGCGAAAGTGCCCGCCGCGCGACACAGCTGCGAGTATTCTTTGCGTGTCACGCCGGTCAATGACGGACGGTGCGAAAGCCAAACACGAGCGAACGAGATGCGTTCGGACTGATGTTGTCGATCAGGAGGAAAATTCCGACGAATAACGCGCGTCGCACTGTGTCATTAGTCCGGCTGGCCGGGCGCACGAGCGATTTTAACATGATGTCTCCGCTGCGAGTGATAAATACGCCCGTGCAATTTGAACGCGCGTGTCAAACGCGACGGCAATAAAACCCCGACCGGCCTGTGACATTTCATCTTCTTTTTCCAGTTAAGCACACGCTTGCGTGTTTGCGAGTTTTAAAAATGTGTAAAATGAGGCCAGCGCGTGTATGTGTTTCAGTTAATCTCGGTGTGAGGACACGCGTCGTCTCTCTCTCTCTCTCTCTCTCTCTCTCTCTCTCTCTCTCTCTCTCCCTCTCTGCTTGTATATTTCTCAATGTTCGATCGCTAATGTGACCTGAATAATTATTCACTACGTTGCGATACTCTTGAACTTGATTCTATTGTCGTGAATTAAATTTCACAATTCTGCGAGTAATCATCTCGAGATAATTTTCGAGGCCGATTGAACCTCCGATGAATCCAGATGCGCTCCCGCGACTAAAAATCGTCGAGGAAAATGAGGCGCTCGTCAGTGACGTGGAAATCTGCGCGGCGAGACGAGGAGAAGGGGGGGGGCACGGGCGGGCGAGGAGGATGTCAGTGCGAAAACAATAAACATCCGCGGAAAATATCCGCGGATCGAATCAGCGGGCGAGCCTCCAAGAGCCGCGAGATTAAAATGCATCCGCCCGGTCGCGGAATCGTCTGTGTCTGCGAGGCGGAGGCGAAGTCTCCAGCAATTATCGCGGAATTCAGCCGATCGTTACCCGTTTCCCTCCGAGAACCACGACCGATTGTCTGAAGCGGACCGAATGCAAAAGGAGAGCAAAAAAAGTAAAAAGAGGAGAGAGATGAAGAAGGAGGAAGAACGAGATCGACAAAGAAAGCAAAGTCGCGCGACGGTTAGAAGAGCAAAAGAAGCGATTCCGACGGTTACCCGCAACGGAGACACCTAGAAACCGTCGACGGCGAGCTGAAGGGGTGGGTGGCGGACAAGATAGAGAATAGCGTAAAGGGAATAAGAAGAAAGCGAGGACGGAGTACACCGCAAAGACGCGAGCGAGAAAGAAAGAAAAAGTAGGAGAGAGAGAGAGAGAGAGAGAGAGAGAGAGAGAGAGATCCTTTTTCTCGCACGAATCAGGATACGTCTCGTTTTATAAGTGTTTGTAAATTTGCGTATTTAAAACAAACGAAAATATAAATAAGATTAAGTCTAAATAATTACTATATGAGAAAAAGGTCAGTTGCGATCAGATGAGAAAAAG